AGCTATTTAGCTCAGAATTTTAGTCCTTTCTGTTTCCTAAACAACTATGTAAAAGAGTGTTTGGCCTCATCACCTGCCTCTTACTGGTTATATACTATTCTGTATAAAATAAGGTCCTAGTGGCAGCTAGGTGGCACAGTGGCACTGGCTCTGGAGTCCGGACCTGAGTTCAAATCCAGCCTCAGGCACTTGACACTTACTAGCTGTGTGACCCTGGGCAAGTCACTTAACCCATTACTTAGCCAAAATATAAAACAAAAACCCCCAAAACAACAAAATAAGGTCCTTAAATGTTTCAAATGACATAAGAAGAATTGGGTATTGATGCAACACATTATGGGAGCAAGCTATTAATTATTAAGACTAAATCAGAAATATCTTCAGTTTTGTTTTGAAGAAAAGAATTTTAGTGCAATCAATTTCCTTAGAGGAGAATAATTTATGGAATATCTTATGTTGCCTCCATGAAAAAGTCAATTTTATTTGGGTTTATTATTTGATTTAGAATTACCGCCTGAGAATTGAGCATGTCTTGATACGCAATCATGTTTTATAACTATTGCCCTGAAACCAACTTAACCTGTCTTCTTGAGTTGTCAAATTTTCCAGACACTTTGGACCTGGAGTATGCAGGCAGCCCTGAACATGTCAAGGATAAAACTCTTCTTGGGCTGACATAATTTGTTGTTTACATCCCTTGCTGGACTCCCTTTGTGTTCTTGGGAGCTGAACCAGCTACAAAGACAAGTGTCAGTCAGTCAGCAGACTGAGAAACTATTTGTGCAGCTGCCACAAATAGACACCTTCATAGTCTAGTTGCATAATATTTTCATCGTCTAGCAGTGCCAAAGGAAAAGAATGCTTGTGCGATCCTACTCACTCATGTTCCTCCTCCCTTTCTTTTGCTTTCCTCTTCTTCTTTAGGAGGGGATTAATCCTTTCCCTATCCCTACTGCTTCCTTTTCTTCTCCCATGCCACTCTCATTTGGGAGGGGATTGCCTCCACTCCTCTCCTTTGCGGCAAACTCATAAATAGGCAAGCTTCTGTCTGGAATTCAAATTCCTTGCACCTCTGTAGGAGTTCTACATGCATGCTCATTTTTCTTGTAATAAATCCGGTTGCCATGCATGTCTTATAGACTTGTGATTTTTATTTTTTTGGTTAACATTATCAACAGCTTATTTGATGGGCACTATTTGAAACTGATTACTCAATGAATTTATACATCCCCTCTCAGGTCCTTTTGCTACAATTGAAATTAATTTGGCGGCATTTAGACAAATTAGTTAGTGTATTAGAGGTCATCTTCTTATGAAAAAGTGTTCTGCTGTTAGTTCCTTAGCAGAATCTCATCCTCCTGAGGGGGCATGAGTAAATAACTAGAGTCAGTAAAATTTTGTGTTTGGTGAAAACCTTGTTTAAAAATTGTAATAACAAGATCAGATAATTATATATGTCAAATAAAAATTGGGTTGGGAATTTTCTGATTTTTTAGTTTGTATTTGAATTTCCTAAAATAGCAACATGACGGTTTGCTAACTTACATCACAAAGCAATTATAAATAGCAAACTGAAGTCTTTCCCTTTCTGGTACTTGAATCTGAGGTGAAGAATGAAATAGATGAACACTAGAAGTTAAATGATGATGTAATCAATGCCAATTTAATTTTTTTTTTAATTTTTAGGCAATTGGGGTTAAGTGACTTGCTCAGAGTCCCACAGCTAGTAAGTGTTAAGTGTTTGATCTGAGGTCAGATTTGAACTCAGGTACTCCTGACTTCAGGGCCGGTGCTCTATCCACTGTGCCACCTAGCTGCCCCAGTCAATGCCAATTTAGAAGGCACTTTCTAGCCTTAGACTACAAATTATATTGACAGATAAGAAATTCACAATGAAAAGGGCCCATCGTGCAAGTCCCCTCCTCATAGATTCTTCTAGATTCTCCCTTCAGCCTGTTGGTAGCAGTCTCCAAAATTCAGTGTAGATAAGGATAGGAGCAGCAAGGAGTGTGGAAAAATGTAAATTCTGTGCTCTAGAGGTTCTTAATTTGATGTCCTCATTAGATCTTTAAGATTTGAGCTAGCTCTCACTACATGACCTGGTTATTGGCAAAACAAACCTGAACAGGATCTAGGCAAATGAGATTTTCTTATCCTAATGCTCTTTAGAAAGAGGAAGGATATTTTTTTTTCCTTTTGCAGAACTAGATGACCTAGATGGCTCCTTCAGCTCTGACATTCTAAGGGTCAAGTAATCTAAATCCAATGATTCCATTCCAATCAGGCAATTCCATCCCTATTTTTTCCAATCTCTCTCTCAGATTACTTTACTTCTTAGGAATGCTATAAGCCATTAATGAGCCTTTGCTTTCTAGGCATCTAGGAGAGCTTAGAAACTCCCTTTCAATAGGAACTTACTATTATCCTTTTTCAGTTTCCCTTTCCTTTCTCAGTTTCATTATTCCCAGAGAAGAGGAAAGGAATGCTGGGGATTCCTAACATGTCTCAATCTGTAATGTAGATTGCTATTCTGGATCATGCATGAATAAGATGAGGCAGCAGGGAACTGTGGATTTAGGATCAGAGTATCTAGGTTCAAATACTAGGTCTAATACATTGTACCTATGTGACCTTCAGGAAGTCAGTTTACATCTGTGGACCTCAGTGGAAGAAGTTTCTCCTTTGTAAAAGGAGGGAGCTGCACCAGATGACCTCTAAGCTTATCCTCTGACTCTAAATCTACAATCCCACAACTCAATTCTTAACCCCTAATTATAGATAGTAGGAGATAGGTGATGAGAGGTGATAAGAGACCCAAGGCCACACATATAACGTGCCTTTTCTACTTTTCAAAAGTAGGTGGAAAAGTAGGGGTGAGAATATCTGAGTATTGTGTATGTGTGAGCATGAGCTTGTGCGTGTAGAACCTGTGTGACAGGAGAGGTAGCAAGATACAGGGGAAAGAACAATAAATTTGGAGAAAAAGGACTGAATTGGTCTCCCTGACCTGTGACTGTCCTCTCCCACCTCTGACCATCACCCTCCTATAGCCCATCTATTCTTTTGAAAGGAGGGAGGGAAAGGAGAGAACAGAGGGTGGAGAAAGGAAGCAGAGGGGGTGTTCTGGTAGAGCGCAAACTTACTCAGCAGTGGAAAACAAAGTAATATCCACCAAAAACATGACAATTTTATTCACCAAAATGTTCATAAGAGATAGCAAGGGGAGAAACGGAGGACATGAAATCTACAGCTAGGCCGGAAGGAATTCTCTTGGTTGGGAAATCAATTTATATACCATGGGAGAAACTTTATTCCCAAACAACCTGACAATTACCAGTATCTTTAGAGTATTGAAAGGAGGGCAGTGTTCTCTCTGAGAGGACATGCTTCATTTGAGGTGTCTGGTCCTCCAAGTTCCCCCAAACCCTCAAAACCCAGAGCAAGTTTTGCTGCTCCCCCTGCTTCCTGCAACTTCATGGTGTATGTATGTGTGTATGTGGTGGTGCTGGTGGTGGGGGGGGATGGGAGGTGGGTAAACAAAATTGTAGATCATGGGCTCTGAGAATCTGAATCCAAGTATGTGGTACCTCTCAAGGCTCCCTCTTATCATGCTGTTGAGGAAAGCAGAAGTCAGAAGATATCGTCATCTCACCAATCCTTATCTTCTCAACCCTCAGGTCATGCAATCCCGTCTCCTCCATCCTTTATCCCCTCCAATCCCCCTTTTACCAGCCCCTGTCTCCTACAGCCCTCATCTCACTAATTCTCATCTCATCTCCTCTGACTGTTATGTCCTCCAATCCCCATCTCATCAGTCCCTATTCCTCAGCTCCATTTTCACTTCCACTTCATTAATCACCATTTTAACAGCTCCCACCTCAGCAACCCCTTTCTCACTGATCCTGCTACTTATTCATCTCTGCTGCTACCTCCACCACTCACCGCACAATCTCTTTTCCTAAACCAGGAGCCAAGTAGGGTGATGCCATGAAATCAAACTCACATCCAGAGAAAGTGAAACTAACTTCTATCCAGTCTCCGAGACTGGGAACAGAGGGAAAATTTCCCCAATAGTCATGCGGCTTGGAAGTATTTCTTGGGAAGTCCTCCAGGGTCCAATACCTGTGATTCCCATTTATCCAAAGGGATGCTCCTTTCTAGCACCTCTGACCTGTGTTTCCTTTAGCTAATACCTACTATTTCTCAAGTGCCCAAAGCAGAGAAAGTTTCCCCACTCCATCCCTGCAGACAAACCTAGGTCTGTGCTCAGTTTCTGATCCCACACTAGATTCCCTGAAGGATATTGTACAAAGCTGCTTCTCCTCATCTGTTCTCAGTCCCCCAATCTGTGAAATGGGAAAGTGCTTTTTGGCTTCTCATTCACTCCATAGTTTTTTACATCTTGGTGGTGTGTGAAGGTAGTATTAGTTGTTCAGCTTGTCCAGCTCTTCCTGACCCTGTGGACCATTATCCATGGGGTTTCTTGGCAAAAATAATGGAGTGGTTTGCCATTTCCTTCTCTGGTACATTAAGGCAAACAAGGTTAAGTGACTTGCCCAGGGTCACAGAGCTATTAAGTGTCTGAGGCTGGATTTGAATTCAGGTCTTCCTGACTCAGGCCCAGTGCTCTAACCACTGCATCTCCTAGCTGCTGTGAAGGTAGAGGGTGTCATAATTAAACTCTTCCTCTCCCTGCCATTCCTCTCTATCGCTACTCATCAGCATTCTCACCATAGGGAATATGGCTTAAGAGACCTGTTCAGTGGTACAGCTGGTTAGGTGCCAGGTTTCCTCGTGCTTAGTTCAATGGTTTTTGTCCAGGGCATCATGTTTTGCCTTTTTCTATCCCACTGTGTTTTAATCTGAAACATTCATGTGCATTTCTTTGTTATTAATTTTAGTGGTAATGATAATTTGTTCCACCCTGCATCTGAGTAGGAAGGGGGCAAGCACCCTGCTGCTCTCCTCCTTCTCTCTGGCTTCTCACCTTCACCACATGAAGTAGATATTTGCTCTCTGCAGCCAGAGGGACCATCGGTTGCATGTTTGGTGACCAGATATGTCTATGCAACTTGCCGTAAGTTCCTCACATGGTCCACCACAAGGGGCCTTGGGGGGAGGGAGCAGGGTATAGGATAATGCATCATATGAGCCCAGATGGTTTGGTTACAGCCTCCTTATAGAAAAACTGACTTTTCTGCTTCAGGTTGTTTCTAAGCATAGCCTAGTTACAGGGTGGGGGACCTGCAGCCTCGAGGCTGAAGGTTCCACATCCCTGTTAGTTTTGAAGTTTGATTTTGGCACCTTCCCACCTTCCTTTCTGTATACCCTTTCAGTCTTCTGATGTTTCTCCACCCCACCCCACATTAGAAAGATTCTGGTATTGTCTGATTGCCCTCATAAAGCCTTCTAGCTTTCTAAGCTATTACATTAGAGTCCCCTCTTCCTCCTCCCATCAGGTCTATCTTTCCCTTAAGTGTCCCTGCCTCCTTCCCTTACAAGTGCAATAGTGATTCAAGGATGGAGAGAGAGAGGCAAATACAGGCCCAGAGGCAAACACAAATTCAAAAGAGGCCATGGCATAGACATAGGTTATAAAAAAAAGAGATCATTTTGGAGGCAGGGACACTTGGACAAGTCATTTCAACTCTCTGAGCCTCAGTTTCCTCATCAATAAAAAGGAGCAATAATATGTTTACTAGCTATTTCACAGGGATATTTATGGAAAGTACTTGATAAACCTTAAAGCGCAATATAGTTGTGCTTTAGCTATACCAACTAAGTGCTCACCATCTCTCTGTCTCTGTCTCTGTCTCTCTTTCTTTCTCATCACCTTACAAGTGCAAGCTCTAGTTCTTGTATTTCCTATAGACAGCAGAAGCTGGTCATGCCTGTGGCTATTCCAGATGAGTTATATCTAGATTTATAGAATTCTAGAAAAGTCTGTCATCTTCTTTGTTGTGGGCGTATAGACAAATATCCGTTGTGGTCACCGTTACCCTTAGCAGAGGTGGAGAAGAAGGTCACAGGTAGCCAGCCTGTGACGGGGTGATGAAATGACTGTGGTGGGTGGAGGAAGAGTTGAAGAGAGTGGGAAGTTTCCCTTAGATGTCTTTTTTTAGCTAAGAGTAGGAAGAAACTCAATTTCCCTCAGCAAGTATTGAATCCACAGGGCAGAAGCCTGAGTCCAGATATAAAAACAAGTATTGTTTGTTTTCAGTGTCCCAAACCTTTGGGCTCCCTGTCTCCCGTAGCACCCTCTCATACTGGGTACCTCTCTATTGAGTGCCCTATGACCTCAGGCCTAACCTTTGTTATGGACATCCTGTACTGACCATCTTCCTACTTTTCCCTGCAACCTTCTGCTGTGGGTTCTTGTTCTTTCCCTCCCCACAAATCCATGGGAATTATCCTGACTGGAATCCCCTCCCCTGTCCAGTTCCCTCTACATTCTCATGTGTCACCTCACAGGTCTGGTACATCAGTGTCTCATACTTGTACAAAGGGGAACAAAGGGGCTTCCTCCCCAACTCAGTAGCACAGGATGTAGAGTTTAGAATGGGGAAGGCTTCAAAAATGCACTGGGTGCTTTAGGGAACTGCAAGCTTGACATGAGTTAAGACAAAGCAGACAGAATAGCTAAAGCCATCTTAGGCTACATTGAGAGAGACAGTGTCCAGGACTCAAGAGGTCAGACAGTGTCTAGGGTACTGTATTATTTCTAGACAGCACATTTTAGGGAGAGTATTGATAAACTCCAGAGGAGGCTAGATTTCTCAGAGGACTGAGGATTTCCATGTAGGGATCAGCTGAAAAAAAATTAGGGATATTTATTTTGAGAAAGAGAGGACTCAGCAGGGAATGATAGCTGTGTTCAAGTATTAGAAAGACTACTTTGGAAGCAAAATTAATTTTTTTTTCTGATTAAATCTAAAGGGCAGAGCCAAGAGCAATTCAGTCAATAAGTATTTATGAAACAGGCACTATGATAAATGCTGGGTGAAAGTTACGAAGAACCAGATTTAGGCTCAAATAAGGAAAATTTCTCATGCATTTATAGGGGGCCCAATGTCTATGAATCAGGAAATCATCTGGTTGATTTATTTCCAAAATCTTGAAAAAAAATATTATGGGCTTAAAATTCCACTAAAAATAACTGGAATGTATAACACATTTGGGAATCTACCTACAAAAAACACACAGGGGAATTATGTGGATATAACTACAAAACACATTACAGAAATAAAGACATCTGAATAATTGGAGAGACATTAACTGCTAATTGTTGGGCTGTGTTGGTAATAATGATGACAATACTACCTATATTAATTTACATATTTACTGTATATGGAGACTTATATAAATATTATATAAATATTACATATTTAACTGCTTTTTAGATATAACAAATGATAACATTTACCTGGAGGAACAAAAAAATCAAGAATGTCAAAAAAAAAAAGACACAAGTGAAAGGAAGAGGCTGTAGCAGTACCCGATCTCACATTATACTTCAAAGCAATAATCATGGAAACTATTTGGGATTGGCTAAAAAAAAGAATAAAAAAGAAGATCAATAGGACAGATTGGGAACATGAGATTGGGAAACAAATGAACTGAATGTAGTAGCACAATGTTTGCTTAATCCAAATAACCAACCCAAATCCTGAGATAAGGACTGGCTATTTGACAAATACTGCTAGGATTCTCAAAAGGAAAGATGCAAGCTATCAATGGTTGACATGGGAATTTGTTTTGCTGGACTCTGAATATTTGTTATGAGGGTTTTCTTTTTCTTTTTTTTATGATTCAATGGGGTGGGGGAAGCAATGATAAATGCTAATGAGCAAATATTAAAAAAAAACAAACCTCACCCCCCAACCACGTAAAAGTGTTCCAAATCACCAATAATAATGGAAATGAATTCGAACAACTTTGAGGTTCTACCTCGTGACTAGCAGATTTTCAAAGATGACCAAATACATAAATGACAATGATTGTAAAAAGGTAAGCAGGATTGGTGGAGCTGTGAAATGGGCCAACCATTCTGGAAGGCACGTTGAAGCTAGCTGTGTATTTGGTTTGCTTTACTATCCTTATTCGCTAGAGGGAAGGACTTAGCGTGTATGTGTGAGACTTAAGTGATAGTGATATACATGTAAAAAAAAGAAAAGCACGGCAATGAATCATCTAAAAATATAAGACAAGAGCAAAAGAAAGGTCATAGGAGTGCAAAGACAACAAAGGCAGTGTGGGAACTATCATGTAAAATTTGAAATACATCAAAACAGCAATATGCTAAACACAGAAAAGATTTTAGATTTCAGATGGAATCTCTCCCCCTCCCCCATCCCTGTCTGTCTCTGTGTCTCTGTATCTGTCTCTCTCTGTCTCTGTCTCTCTCTCTTCCTCTTTGTCTCTCTTTCTCTGTATCTCTCTCTCTCTCTCTCTCTCTCTCTCTCTCTCTCTTTCTCTCGGTCTCTGTGTCTGTGTATTTGTCTTTCCCTGTCTTTGTTTCTCTGTCTCTGTCTCTCTTGTAGTTAGTTAAAAAGCACTTACTATGTACCTAGAACTGTGAGAAGGGCTGGAGATAACAAAGAAAGCTTGAAACAGTCCCTGCCCACATTCTATCTATATGAAAAATAGGGAGGTACATACAAGGTATAGACAGAGTAGGTGGAGGTACTGGAATTGATCCTTTGCTCAGGGAAGTGTTCATGCTTGTTAAGGTCACGATAATAAAAAGGAAAGTTAAAAAATGAAAATAGTAGGTTAGACTAGCTATTCTTTTTTTTTTTTTCCTTTTAGCCAATTGGGGTTAAGTGACTTGCCCAGGGTCACACAGCTGGTAAGTGTCAAGTGTTTGGTCTGAGGCTGGATTTGAACTCAGGTCTTCCTGACTTCAGTGCTGGTACTCTATCCACCACACCACCTAGCTGCCCCTTAGACTAGCTATTCTGTGAGGTCCCTTTCACCTCTGTCAGATAATCCACCATGCATACTAAACTGCAGTTTCTAGTTTTATCCTGAGTAGGTCACACTTCTTCAACAGACTGCTGTCAGGACTTCCTTTCCTTCCATGGTCGGCTGAGCCGGAGAACAGACTGTGATTTTAGAACAGAGACTCTCGGGGACCCATACCCTCATTTTACTTCTCAGCAGGGAGGAGAGTATCTGCCAATAAGCTAATCAAATGTCCTGATCTTGCCCTGGGCATTTGGCTGCTTCCCAAGTCAGGTAGAGTTCTTGGTGTGGGGTGTGGAGGATCTAGAAGTCTTGGAGTTATAAGATCTGTGGAACTGGAAGGGACATTGGTGATCACACACACTTTGGAGTCTTCAACATTCACCTCGCTTTGCTTTTTTGGAAAGAGGACTGACTTCCAGGTATTTTTCGAACAAAGTCTGGTCAGTGGTCCCGACTCTCTCTGGAAGTAAAAGATGGAGTTTTGGGGACTTTGTGTTGTGGGCAAAGGGCCATCAGTATATTTGCTTTAGAAAATACTGACTTTTTCTTTCTAGAGGGATCTCAGGGAGAAGCAGGAGAGCAAAGGTGGAAGAATGGCATGGGGCTCTGGGAAGAAAAGGGAACTTTTCTTTGAAGGGGTGAGAGGGATAGAGAGTGTGGCATAGTGGAAGAAGAATGAAGCTTGTAATAATTGGAGGAGCTGGCATCAAATCCCAGCTCTATTACTCTCTGTAGGATCTTGGGTAAGTCACTTCTTCCTCTGGAATATGAGAGGGTTGAACTGGATGGTTTCTACTTCCTTCCAGCTTTGAATGCTGGGATTTCCATGACTCATCCTAGCATCTATGATTTCTTTTCCTCTATGACCTGTTCTTTCAATCTGCCTGAGCCCTATGTCAGGAGGGACACAGAATTTTCGGAATTATATTTTTTAAATAATTGAAGGAAAGGTGAAATTTCAGTTAGAGGTTAGTGAAAAATGAAGATATATAATTTCCCCATCTAGGTTCACATTACCCCCACCCCTCAACAACAACAACAACAATAACAATAACAACAATGACGACCAACCAGCTAAGCCAATGCTGTCGATGATCTGTGGACCTCAGA